TTCTTTTACAAGTCAAATCTACCAGTAAACATCAATAAACACTCACATATTAACATATCATTTCAAACCCCATTTCTACAATCTCCATTATTTCCCTTATCTCATAGTTTTAATCTCATCTAATCCTTCCTTAAGCTTCTATCATGCTCAAGGCTTCAATAACTAACCAAAAATAAAAGGATAAACCATCAAAATGAAATATCACCTTTGCTATGGGGAAGTGTTATTTCCACGGGGAAGAAGAAGAAAGGAGAAAGATGGCTTTTGGTAATTTCTTTTCCCGTTTCCCCCTTTTTCTTTAATATCTTATTACAAATGAATTTTAAATTCATTTTCCCCTTAAAGGACCAAAATGCCCTCTCTATTCATCTTTCTATACAATTTAGTTCAAAACACTAATCCAAATCATTTCCTCATCTTTTAGCATTTATTCAAATCAATCCCCAAATTTGAAATCTTTTCAATAAAGTCCATTATCCAATATTTGGGGCATTACATGGTGTTAGGAGATCATGATATGGAAATATATTCAGATTATGCAAAATTAAAATTGATTTCTTCTAAGCCTAAGGTTCTGCCTTCTGTTTTGCAGGCACCTAAAGTTGAACTGAAACCGTTGCCGGATCACTTGAAGTATGCCTTTCGCGGAGCAAATAACAATTTGACAATGATCATATCAGAATGATTGTCCGAAGAAGAAGAAGAAAAAGATTTAATAACGGTGTTGCGTTCACACAAGGAGGCTATAGGATGGACCATCTTCGACTTAAAAGGATTAAGTCCCTCCACATATATGCACAAAATTAAAACCGAAGAAGGCACAAAACCAACCCATGAAGGCCAACGCCGACTGAATCCACCAATGATGGAAGTGGTAAAAAATGAGATACAAAAACTCCTTGATGCATATATTATATATCCAATATCGGATAGTATATGGGTAATTCTAATACATGTAGTTCCTAAAAAATAGGAGTTACTGTGATTGAAAATTCTAAGGGAGAATTTTTACCAACACGAGTTCAGAATGGATTGAAGGTTTGCATCGACTATAGGAAGTTGAATTCATTAACCCTAAATGACCATTTTCCTATTTTATTCATAGATCAAATGATAGAAAGACTAGCTGGTAAGACTCACTATTGTTATCTTGATGTATTTTTAGGTTTTTTCGAAATTCTAGTTGGACCTGAAGATCTAGAAAAGACGACATTCACATGCCTCTTCGGTACATTTTCTTACCAACGATTGCCTTTCGGAATTTACAATGCACCTACCACATTCCAAAGGTGTATGATTAGTATTTTTCTGATTATATTGAGAAAGGTATTGAAGTCTTCATGGATGACTTCACTGTTTACGGTAATTCATTTAATGAATATCTATTAAACTTAACAAATGTGTTGCGTCGGTGCCTAGAATTTAACCTTGTTTTAATTTATTAAAAGTGTCATTTAATGGTTGATAAAGGTTTAATTCTAGGCCATATTGTTTCTTCTAAAGGAATTACGGTAGACAAAGCGAAATTACTTCCATACCCTACTACTGTGAGGGAAATCTGTTCTTTCCTTGGTCATATAGGATTTTACCACAGGTTCATTAAGACTTTTCCAAGGTGACACAACCATTATGCGAGTTGTTACAGAAAAATAAAACCTTCAATTTCGATCAACAATGCAAAGAATCATTTGACGTTTTAAAAGAGAAGTTGGTTTCGGCACCCATTGTGCAATCGCCAAATTGGGACTTCCCCTTTGAAGTCATGTGTAATGCTTCGGATGGAAGTGTTGGAGCCGTACTCGGACAAAGGATCAGGAAAGAGCCTCACGTGATTGCCTATGAATCACACACCTTAGATTCCGCACAATGGAATTATTCAACGATAGAAAAATAATTATTCGCTATCATTTTTGCATTAGATAAATTTAGATCGTATCTTCTTGGCACTAAAGTTGTTGTTTTCTCTTATCATGCAGCCTTGAAGTATTTGCTTAGCAAAAAAGGGGCAAAACCACGACTAATCCGTTGGATCGTACTCCTCCAAGAATTTAATTTGGAAACCAAAGATAAGAAAGGATGTGAGAATTTAGTAGCTGATCACTTAAGCCGGCTTCTAATCACTACAGTTGATCCTCCCATTCGTGAAGAATTCCCGGAGGAAAGCTTGATGATGGCGCAGAAGTCAATGCATTGGTTCACAAATATAGTTAATTACTTAGCTACATGTAAATTACCATCTGATTTGATGAGAGCCGAAGTGAATTGTATTAAAAGTGAATCTCATTTTTTTCATTTGGTATGATCCGTATCTTTGGAAGCATTGTTCAGACCAGATAATTAGGCGATGTGTTGTTGAAAGTGAGGTAAGTTCAATTTTAAATTTTTTTCATTCTTATTCGTGTGGTGGACATTTAGGACCAAATCGAATTGCTCATAAAATTCTAGAATGTGGTTTCTTTTGGCCTCATATTTTCAGTGATGCTTACTTATTTTGCAAATCCTGTGATAATTGACAACGTGCAGGTAATTTGACTCGAAGAAGTGAAATTCCCCTTAATTCTATTCATATATGTGAAATATTTGATGTTTGGGACTCAATTATATGGGTCCTTTGGTTTCTTCCATTGGCAATTGTTATATAGTTCTTGCAGTTGACTATGTTTCGAAGTGGGTAGAAGCTAAGGCCACTCGAAACAACGATGCCAAAACTATTGTTCAGTTTCTAAAGAATTGCATTTTTTCCAAGTTTGGCACATCTAAAGCGATAATAAGCGACTGCGGCACACACTTCTTCATTCGGGTAATTGATGCTATTATGAAAAAGCATGGAGTAAATCACAGAATTGCCACTGCTTATCACCCGCAAATGAACGGACAAGCAGAAATATCAAACCGTGAAGTGAAGATAATTCTTGAAAAGATAGTCAAGCCAAATCGCAAGGATTGGAGCTTGAAATTAATTGATACTTTATGGGCTTATCGAACTGCATATAAAGGACCTATCGGCTTGACGCCATATCGCCTTGTACGATAAGCCATGTTATTTTCCAGCCGATCTGGAATATAAGACATATTGGGTTGTAAAGCAATGCAATATGGAATTAGAGGCGGTTGGCAAAGCACGGAAGTTACTCATACAGGAACTTGAAGAAATCTGTATTATGTGAATAGCCAGGCTTGCTTAATTGAAGATCTCGACTTAGAAGAACCTGTAGTTTGAATCAGGTCCTCGAACTAACGACGTTAAACAAAAGCGCTTCATGGGAGGCAACCAATTGTTTTTAATTCCGTTTCATTTTTTTTTCGGTTAACTAGATCTAATTTAATTATTTTTATTTTTTTCAGGAACCAAATGTTTTTACAAGCTTAAACGATGAAGGTTCGCGCAAATTATATTCGAACTGTGCGAAAATCAGACTCGAGAAGCAGTAAAAAAATCGTGCGAAACTCTGGCAGAATTCGTTCAAGACCGTGCGTACTGTTCCATTAAAAATAACGCACGTTAGCACACCTCTATGGAGACCGACGCACGTTAGCACACCTCTATGGAGACCGACGCACGTTAGGAAAGACAAAATCACATTTTCCCCCTTTTTTGTGAGATATTTTACTGCCCTATCTCCTCTTTTTCTTTCTTCTTTGACCGTGGACCCCATCCCTTTCTCTATCACTTCACCTTTTTAATTTTAAACTCCCCTTTATTCCCCCATGCACGGCAGAACCAAATTAAAAACAAACTCTCTTTCCTCTTCTCTAAATCGATTACCTCCCTCCAAAAACGTCCTTGGGGGACGTCGCTGCCTCAATGCGACGACTTTTTTCACCATACCAAGCGACTCCGAATTCGTTCCACCGCCACATCCTGTTCGCCCGATGCGAGGCCTGGCCCACGCACCAAATGCTCTATCTTCACTGTATCACTCGGCGTTTGCACCCACCACTTCATTACGCCCCGGGCCGAGCACTGCTCCCCTTCTGTCACTACCGTGCTCCCCTTCTCCGTCGTTCCAGTCCATGCTGATTGTAGGTACGTCTTCATCTCATCCATGACCGTCGGGTTTCCCGACGTGTTCCATGACTTCTGCAGCGTCCGATAGTGCACTGGAGGTAAATTCTACTCTTATTTAGATTCAACCTTTGCTAATGTAACATCCGGTTTATGGTTTTACAGAGGAGATCGACGCTGGTTTCTTGCCCCCGGATCCATCTCCTGCGACATCGAGTTCTTGGCAACAACCCGTGCAGCACGCTTTATCGGCCCATTCCTCTAACCCGAGTGATTTCGCTGCCCCTGGAAGTCCACCGCCTGCCCATGAGAATCCCGAGTGCAACCGACGGGGTTGCTCATATGCTGTCCCTGCCAAAGAGACTCTGGAAGATTACTTGTAATTCACTAACGAGGAGTTGGTACGTTTTGAGTCGGTAAGATATCGTTCGTTTCGTGTAGGTAAATATATTCCAACTCGAACCTTAGAAACTTTGCACTTATGTGAATCTGTCTATGCTTATTTTGTTTCCATTGGTTGGACTTTATATCCGATGATTAATTGTAGCACGTTTTATGAACTTGTCTTTGAATTTTACGCCACTTTTACTTTTTCACATAATCGTCTTTTTAATGATTAATTGTATCACGTTTTATCAACTTTTTGATATGATGAATAGTATAGCAAAGGAATCAAAACATTAACCATAAGAAAAGAGAGAAAATTAACGAAAGGGGGACATAGTTTTTCAAACAAAGATTTAATACAAACAAAAGCAGCAACAGCCAGTATTTTATATAGGATTTAACAACAGATCAAATCAAACAAAGCCATGAATCAACTGCAAAATCCTTGGAGAAAGGAATTGCAAGAAACCATGGTTGTATTATTACACGACAAGCTTCTATTAGACAAGACAAGACACGAAATACTTATGATCATAGACCTCGATCAATCCTTGAAAATCTTAAAAATTATTACAGACTTTGTTTGCTACTTTTATATATGGCTTAATCGGTTAACAGTTGCATGGATCGCAAGTGCAGTTTGATCCACACTTGCATCCGTGTCCTGATTCAGTGCTCATCTCCGATACATCAAAGGTCCTGAAATAAGTAAACCATTAATAAAACATCAAAATCAAACATTTGATATGCATGTAATAAATTTTTTGAAGTTTTAGTTTGAAACTAACATCTTCACTGGCGCAACTCCGGAGATGATGGTCTCAGTACTGATCGGCTTCTCTGAGAATCCCAGGTTAAGGTTCCTGTTGCATCTGCAATATCAAAAGGCCAGAATTTTATATCTAAACACGAACAAAGATTCACATAGTTCAAATTCGATTCATTTACGATCTTAATTATTGCACTGAAATTCGTACTGTGTAACAACAAGCAAGAATTGCTAACTTACGAACAGTTGTCGCCGCAACTGCAGCTAGAACCGCAATTACACCCTGAAGACATTTTTCTCGAGAAAGTGAAGGAAAGAGAGAAAAATTTCAAGAATTCAATACACAGAAGCAAGCTCAAAAGTCAAGGGTGAGTTTGGAGAAAAATGTCGATCGGTATTTATAGTGGAATTCAAGTGAGGAAGGGTGAATTGTACAAGTGCATCATCAGTCTCTCCCTCCCCTTGAGTTCATACTTTATAAATAATTAATTATTTTGTTTTAACATTAACAAACTAAAATTATTTTACCATTCAATAAAAAATATTTGTTATCTAATCAACGGGTTTATTCAAGTGGTAAATAAACTTGATATTATTGAAGCATATTTCGAGTTCGAGTCCTTGTCTACGTAGAAAATCCTTACTGGAAGACTCAGCCACCAAAATTAGATGTACGATTCTTTGTCTACATAGAAAATCTTTACTGGAAGACTTACCCATTAAAATTAGATGTACGATTCGAGTCAATCCAAATTAACCAAAACAAAACATTTAGAAAAGGACAATAAAAAAATACTTTTGTCTAATTCAAATGTTGTTTTATTTTTGGGGGTTGCAATTGATTAGGACGACAAACCAATAAGCAAGAACACGTCATTTTCCTATGTAAAATAATTTTACCATAAATTTTAACGTAAACTTTGTGATTAACTGTGAGAATATCGAAACTAAAGCATATGGTGAAGTAACAAGGGATACTTTGTTTCATTTGATTTTATTTGAAAATTTTAATTATGATAATGACAACATAATTCAAAACTATATTTTACTCTTATAGAGTTGGGATAGATTTAGGAATTTGTTTGTTTTCTTCAAAATTAAGAAAATTTTCTCTTTAGTCACTCAATTATTATTGTATTTCTATTTTGGTCATTTAAATGTTCTTTCTTTATAAAATTATTAGCAATCTTGTGTTTTACTTATATTTTAATCATATATAAAATTTAACATAAATTGTGATGTTGAATGATAAAGTAATAATTTAAATTCTCAAAACTTATATATATGGTCATAATATGCCCTTTTAGTTTTTATTATAGCTACCAGTTTTTCCTCTGCCACTTGATAAGTATATTTCGTTTTGAGACGAGAAATTTTACTGCATTTACTTGTTGGGAGATCCACTTATGTTCAATGATAATAATACCTGGCGTCTTGCATATGTTATATGCTATTATTCATGGCTTAATTCTGCTATTACTGTGTTTTCATTTGATCTAAGAATCTGATACTGATTTCCTCTATACATTCATTTGCTTCCAAATTCTTTCTTCTATCTGTCACCTTTGAATTATAATGTTCCTACCATGCATATTTTCCACACACACATATATATATATATATACCATTCAATTATCAGGATATTATGTAGAAATACTCGGGTTAATATTTCTTCCAAAATTCCAAATTTAATTACAGTAATTTTTATATGAATAAATACACACATACTTTGAAATTAAAATAAACAATTTAAACAGTAAACAAAACGTCAAGCATTAAAGGGGAAAAAAACATAAACTAATGGAAGGGCCATGGATTTAGGACAAAGATTTGATACATAAAGCAGCAGCCGATCTTTTATTCGATTTAACAACATATCATGAAACCGTACCAATCATGAAAGAGCTGCAAAATTCCTCAGGCAAAGGAATTGCAAGAGATCATGATTATATTATTACACGATAAGCTTATATAAAACAAGACAGACAAGAAAAAAAGATAGACATAATTGATGAGATGACCCTCCACCAATCCTTAATTATTATGTGCTGCTTTGATCTATGGCTTCAGCAGCTAACATTTGCATGGATCACAGGTGCAGTTCGACCCGCACTTGCATCCGTGTCCTGATTCAGTGCTCATTTCCGATCCCTCGAAGTTCCTGTGATAGGTAAATCATTAAGAAACAATCAAAATCAAATGCTTGTAATAAGATTTTTGAATCTCTTAAGATTTTGTTTGAAACTAACATCTTCACCGGCGCAACTCCCGAGATGATGGTCTCAGCACTGGTCGTTTTCTCTGAGTATCCTAGATTAAGATTCCTGCTGCATCTGAAATTTATAAAAACACGAACAAAGATTTGTGTCGTTCAACTTCAATTCATTTACGTTAACTCAAAATAATATCTTTAACGAAAAAGAATTGCAAAGAAACTTACGAGCAGTTATCGCCGCATTTGCAGCCAGAACCACAACTGCACCCCGAAGACATTTTTTTCCCAAGAAAGTGAAGGAAAGAGTAGGAAAATTTGTAAGAATTCAACAGACAAGGCAAGCTCGAAGGAGAAAATTCGATCGGTATTTATAGTGAACTTCAAGTGAAATAAGTTAAATATTCACCGTACACGTTGCAAAATATTGGATTATTTCGTATTCGGAATGCTACAAATGCATCAGCCTCTCTATCCTCGTTAGAAATGATAGTTAAAAGATGATGTAATAAGTGATAAATACGATATAAATTTATTCATAAATCAAAATGTATATAAATATGCAACACTGACTCTTGGGAATATCTTAACTTTACGCATGCGTGATGATTACAGAATTGATGAAAACGAAATAGAAGGAAATGGTAAAATACATCATAGGTCATTAAACTATGTTCAATTAATTATATTAGTCATCAAACTTTTAAAAATTATAAATAGTTATTAAAATTACGAAATCATTATAAAATGATCACTACAACATTATAAAAAATATAAAAGAAATTATAAATTGAATGATTATTTTGTTAAAATTTAGTAAATTTTAGGGATTATTTATAGTAATTCAATAAATTTTAATAACTAATTTATAACAGTTTGATAAGATTTAATGATTATTTTATAATTTTCTAAAAGTCTAATGAACAAAACAATTCTTTTAACATAGTCGAGTGACTCTTAATATACTTTATATCCAAAGAAAAGAATAAATTGAGTGACTAAATAAATAATGAGAAAGGAATGAATCATGCAACTTTGGAAACATGCTTCCATTATTTATAATAAAGTAAACATAATACAAAATTATATTTTATTTTCATGGAGCTCTTGGATGAATCTATGAATTTGCTTGTTTTCTTGAAAAACAAAAAATATTATTATTTTTTGTATTTTATGTATCTTAGACAATTAAAAAAAGAATATTATTACTTTCTCAGCCATATTTGAGTTGGAGGAAGATTGGTGATCAACTTGAGAATGGTCAATAGTATTATTATGGGCATGAACAATAATAATACGCTTAAGACTAACATGTTATTGATTGATGACAATGAGTTGTCATTGATATAGAGATGTCAAAATTGATACATGATTATATTGTTGGAGAACAATGTATTGGATTGACCCACCAAGAGCAAATGTCTTAGATTATTATGTGACAATCATAACATTGCTCATGGTGATGACTGTATGTATGATCCTCAGACTTGAGATCAATGCTATCCCAACATATATTGTTGTATGTTTTGATGCAGTTAAACATGCTCCGTAACTGGTTTCTCTATAAAGATTGTTATTGAATATATCTCGATATATGTAGTGGGTGTGCATGATTAAGATATGATTTGTCCTTCTTATATAATAGAAAATATATCACATGTCACTTAATTGAGTGAGACTAGAAATGCATGGTGATGCTCGAATAAGTTGATATGAGATATAAAAAATATTCGTTAATTAAAGTCTACTCTATATATCAAGAAACAATAGATGGGCTATACAAGTGTGACTATTACAAGACTTAAGTCTATTCTAGATATAAAGGGCAAAATGATATAATACATAAAAGAGTTAATCATAAAGATGATATGTCGAATCATATTTTCGTGTAACTTATGTGACAGTGATATATTGCTAGATGTCACTCATTGTATGTAATATTAGAATTGTTCTAATAATTATTGCTAACATTACAAGAACCTACAGGGTTACACCCTAGGATTGAAATGAGCAAAGATGTACAATTTGTTGTACATTACTAAAATATATCTAGAGATAATATATGTATATTTGATATACATATGTTTTAATTATCTCGAATATTTAATTTAAATTAATTAAATAAAGATTTAATTAATTTGAAACAATAAAATCCCTAATATGTTAGGGTAACTTGGATATAAAAGGAAGTGTAAGGTTTAACAGCCGTTTTTCTCAAAACAATTTTGGGAAAAGCAAATATTGCTCTCAATTGGGTGAACTGAGTAGAGGTTAAGACGGGTTTCTTGGAGGCATGCGATTCGAATCGATCGACACCACCATTAGTCGCTGCTGTTACTATTGTTTTCCAAGGAACCCCCTATAAGTATTTGCATCATTTCCCCCGATTTTGGTTTATCGTACTTGGATATCTGGTGAGACCATCGGATTTTTGTTTCTACAGCTCCATGGGGTGAGCCGGAAGTCCGAACAGTGGAATCAGAACCACTTGTACAATCCGAATTCAGGTTAAATTCTTGGTTGATGCGATATGTATGAGATGCTTGTTCTAGTTTTATCATTTTCAGTGAATATGCATGATATTATTGTTTTATTTCATAACTATAACGATTAATATGTTAATTTGTTAATATGTTTTTTACAATCTGTGTATTGCTGCAAGGATTTTATGAAATCCATATGTCAATTGTTGACATGATGATTCGTGGGTGTGCGATAGCAAATTGCATTTGGCAGTGGAACAATGGTTGTTCTGATGCAGAAAATCTTTGGGATTGAAAATCCCAAAAACACGATTCTGTTGATAAGTATTATCAAATCGTGAGGTTTTTCTATAGAAACAGAAGTATTGTTTTTTTAAAAAAAAATCCCAAGGCCGTGCTGCGACGGTAGATGCGCAAGAGGGGCTCCATCCTTTGACTCTTCATCAGTAGTATATATTACAGTCCCATATTAATATTTTCTTCACGGTATTTGACATGCATGGTTATAGCCCTTGTTTTATTTACAAAGGTTGAATTTGAAATACGGCCTGCGAGCCGTGCCTTTCTATATCTCAGTTGTATTTCTCTTCTCATCTTACTCCCTCGTATGTAAAAC